TCTATCACCAGTTTTTATTTATAAGACTTTTTTTTTTTTTTTGAGTTGGAGTCTCACTCTGCCACACTGCTGGGCTCAGGTGATCTTTCCGCCTCAGCCTTCCAAGTAGCTGGAACTACAGGCACCCACCACCACGCCTGGCTAAGTCTCGCCAAGTTGCCCAGACTGGTCTCAAACCTGTGGGCTCCAGCAATCCTCTCACCTCGGCCTCCCAAAGTGCTGGGATTATAGGCACCTGGCCTGATAAAACTTTTTTTTTTTTTTTAACATCTCAGAAACTTATTGTCTAACTAGCTCTATTAGTCTATTACATATCAAGAAAGTCAAGCCGTGTTGCTGTTTTTGCTTCAGTAGCTTTGGTTGCATTGGGCTGGAATGTGCTCTCTTTCTGGCATTTAGCAGCTTAAGTGATTTTTCAGGGACAGGGTCTATAAACTTTGCCAGTGCTGAATCTATTTTATTTTTATTTTTTGAGTTGGAGTCTCCCTGTCACCCAAGCTGGCCCACTGCAGTCTCGGCCTCTTGGGTTCAGGCAATCCTTCCCCCTCAGCCTCCTAAGTAGCTGGAACTACAGGTGCGTGCTACCAAGCCTAGCTACTCTTTTTATTTTTTGTAAAGATGAGGTCACCCTATGTTGCCCAGGCTGGTCTCAAACTCTTGGTCTCAAGCAATCCTCCCGCCTCAGCCTCCCAAAGTGCTGTGATGACAGGGGTGAGCCACCACCTCCAGCTTCTTTGTCAGTACTGAATTTAATAATACATCTCTAACCAGATGTTCTCTTAGGTTTCTTATGTTCTTTCTGACTGACTCCCAAAGAGGAAGGAATGACAAACATGACAACATTACTCCACAAAAATAACCTCTTTCTTTTCAAAAGTAACCTCTTTCTTCATTCAATTCAATCCTTTACTACTTACTGTCTTCTATATATATCCACTTCCTAGGTACTCTTCTGCATTATGCCCCCTTGAAGTTAGGATATTCATGAAAATACTTTAAACTTCTCTAATTTTGTATCAATATCAAATCTATATAATGCTCTACCAAATTGCCTGCTTAATTTCAATGGGATTCAATACAAAAAAGCTTTAGTTAAGTCAAGGGAGCTGGACTGTTCTTTTTCTTCATAGTTTATTGCTACATTTATAATTAGTTATCCCTGAGAATTAAAATCAGAAACTTTTTTTTACTAGTGTTAGTTGGCCCTGTAAGCCTTTTACAATGTTTTTGTATTAGTATTAAAAGTGATTACAAGCTGGGCTCGGTGGCTCAGCCTGTAATCCTGCGCCTTTGGGAGGCTGAGGTGAGTGGATTGCCTGAGCCTGGGCAACTTGGCGAGACCTCATCTCTACAATAAATTTTAAAAATGAGCTGGGCATGGTAGCGTGCGCCTGTAGTTCCAGCTGCTTGGAAGATTGAGGTGGAAGGATCGCCGGAGCCCAGTAGGTCGAGGCTGCGGTGGCCGGGAGCAGCCACTACACTCCAGTCTGTGTTGACGGAGTGAGACTCCAACTCAAAAAAAAAAAAAAACAACCAAAAACAAAAAAGTGATTACAGATCTTTGACTTGAGTAAAACTAAACAATGAGAACTGTTTTCATTGTGCAGTCTGCTTCTGTGTCTACATCCATAGCACTGATGTTGGAAATTAAACATGTTCCTGGCATAGAATTCAGTAATACCATGCTGGTCCCTCTAAAACTTACTTAGGTGAATTTTTTTATTATTTTATATTTTATTTTATTTTATTTTATATTATTTTGAGTCGGAGTCTCACTCTGTCACCCAGACTGGAGTGCAGTGGTACACTCATGGCCACTGTAGCATCAACTCACTGGGCTCAGGTGTCCCTTCCACTCAGTCTTCCAAGTAGCTGGAACCATGAGTGTGTGCCACAACCCACCAGCCATATTTGTAATTTATTGTAGAGCCAAGGTCATGCCAAGTTACCCAGGATGTTATTGAACCCCTGGGGCAGGCAATCCTCTCACCTTGGTCTCCCAAAGTGCTAGGATTATAGGCCTGAGCCACTGTGCCTGGGCAAGTGACTTTTTAGAATTGTGTCTAACCAAGAAACAATTTAATTTTGTGCTTGGTGTGGTTTGGTTTGAATAATGCCTGCTTACATAAAATAACACCAACCAGAGCTTCTCTTTCAGAATAGTTTCAACCCAGTAAAAATTATAGCATGTGAAGATGATGATGCTACTAACTTGTTGCATTCATTTGCTGGGGTTGCCATCACAAAGTCCCACAAACTGGGTGACTTAAACAACAGAAATTTTTTGTCTCACAGTCCTCGAGCCTAAATGTCCAAGATCAAGGTTTCAACAGGGTTTATGCCTTCTGAGAGCTGTGAGAAAGAATGTGTTCCATGCCTCTCTCTTAGCTCCTGGTGCTTTGTTGGCAATCCTTGGCTTGCAGGTGCACCATCCTAATATCTGCCTTCATCTTCACACAGCATTCTCCCTGGTGTACACATTTGTCCCCCAATCTCCCCCTTTTTTTTTTTTTTTTGAGTTGGAGTCTCACTGTCGCCCAGATTGGAGTGCAGTGGCCGCTCCCGGCCACCGCTGCCTAGACCTGCTGGGCTCCGGCGATCCTTCCACCTCAGTCTTCCAAGTAGCTGGAACTACAGCGCGCGCTACCAAGCCCAGCTAATTTTTTTGATTTATTGTAGAGATGAGGTCTCGCCTGCCCAGGCGGGTCTCGAACCCCGCGGGCTCAGGCAATCCACTCACCTCAGCCTCCCAAAGGCACGGGATTACAGGCTGAGCCACCAAGCCCGGCTCCAATCTCCCCTTTTAACAAAGTCAGCGGTTATATTGGATCAGGGGCCCACCCTACTTAATTATGACTATCTTAATTACATGAATGACCTTATTTCCAAATAAGGTCACATTCTGAAGTACTGGAGGTTAAGACTTCAATATATGAATTGTGGGGAACACAATTCAACCCATAACACTTGTAATCAAAGTTATGTTTTATATTAATGGCTCTTCCATTTCTTTAACAAATATTTACTATCTGTGAGTCATATGTTAAGTACTGAAAAATACAACAATAAATTAGATATAGCCCTTATTTTCAAGAAACTTAAGTTCATTCATTTTTGCCTCTTTATTTACAATCTTTTCACTTCCAAGGAAATGAAATACAAAGGAGACTATACATGTTTAAGGATCATATGGCTGAATGGCTAAAAGCGATAGTAATCAAACATCATCATATAAATTACCTCATTTAATCCTTAAAACAATACTGCAAGGTGAGATTTATTATTATCACTGCTATTTACAGATGAGGAAACTGAGGTGCTGAGAAGCCTAGCAAGTGGCAGACTGGGTATTTAAACCTAAGAGGATCTGGCACCTGAGCTAGATACCACTGTTATAGAATCCCTGTATTTCACATCTACTAATGGGGTGAAGAACTGAAAAAAAAGTCTCCCCTCTATCTTTAAACCAGTGATGCAAAGTAATACCTGTAGTCTAATTTCTTCTCTTCCTCTTTGTTTCTTTTTTGCTCACCAACATTCACATATCTATTGGTTTCTTCCATTAACATTTCTTCTTAAAGAAAAACTTTTTTCCAGTCTAGACAATATAGCAAGACCTCATCTCTACAAAAAATAAAAATTAAAAGGAAATTAGTTGAGTGTGGTGGTGTGCACCAGTAGTTCCAGCTATGTGGGAGACTGAGGCAGGAGGATTGTCTTAGCCCACGAGGTCAAGGTGGTGGCAAGTCTTGATTGTGTCACTGCACTCCAGCCTGGGTGACAGAATGAGATCCTGACTTTAAAAAATAAATAAGTAAATAAAAAAGAAAACCTTTTCTTAGCTCACTTCTTTCCTCCTCTCCCACAGCTCCCACTCCCCACTTGGTCTACTTTCTATCCAGAAACTGAATTTCCTCTACAGAACTTGCCAATAATTCAGGGTTCTCTACTGGGAAGTTGATTGGGAAGTGATTGACTTACTATTTCAAGACAAAGAACAGAAAGCATCTCACCTTCTGGAGGTCAACCTTTTGGAAAGGGGAGGGATGGGGTTAAGGTCTTTCCAGGAAGGAAAACCATCCTATTTTTCAGGCCATATTTATTGACTCCACCATTACTGTCACAAACCTAGCTTATTGACACTGCTGCTTCTCCATTGGTATAGTGACAGTAGATAAGGGTTTTCTGGGTGACCAGGAGTATATATTTTTTTTCCTAAGGGTCTAATGCAAAATGTAACTCAGTAATGGCATCTTGGTGAAGAAAAGTGAGATGTGATTACTGAGGCCAGCTGGTTCTCAGAGATGATAAGTCTCCAACATTAACCTCATAGTAAATTAAACAGGTTCACAGTTATATATTCCAATCTCTCTCTTTTCTAATAAGTGAGAAGATTCTGAGAAAGAAAAAAAAATTTTTGATTATGTAATACATCATGAATAAATTACTGAAAGGATATCTAGACCAAATACACACATATATGAATATATGTAAATATCTTAATATTTATGTATATAATGTTTAAGAACCTTATGGCAGAATAGCTAAAAACACTAGTAATCAAGCATCATCATGTGAATTATCTCATTTAATCCTTTAAACAATACTGTAAGGTAGAAACTATATATATATATATATATATATATATATTACATTTCCAAAGATTTCAATAGGATACTTTTCACTATGAAGAAGCCACAGTTCAAAAATGATTCCACTTTATGGACAAGTCTTGTATTTCCAATCTATCAAATTATGGCAAATGTCATAGTTCTCATGACTTATTACAGAAATGTCTTTTAAAAGTCTAGGTGCAAATTTTCATTGGAAGCACAAATTAAAAGAAAGAAAATCAATTTCAGAGATGTTGAATCATCTGTAGAAAATTTTATGGATAGCCTATTTACTTAACATGTTAGTCAATGTTCCTACATTAGTGTGTCTTGAGTACAGTATTCACTTATTCAACAAACATGTATTGAGTATCTATTTTATTCTAGGTGCTGACCTAAGTGCCAGAATACAAAGTCAAGTAAGTGACAGAGCACATCTTCAAGGAGTCGATTGCCTAATGGGAAAGAGAGGTAAGTAAATAGGCAGTTTCGATGCACTGTGTAAATAATACGGTGAAAATATGCACAGAGAGTAACATAGATGGTGCCTAAACTAGGTTATAAGTTAAGCAGGAAAATTGTCCAGGAGAAGCTACTGCATAATGGGGAGTAACTGTTGATTGAAATGACTTACAGATTGCTAAATTTGATGATTTTATTTTGTCAGTTCCCAAATGTTTCAAGTGATAAGTTCCTCTCTTTTGAAAACTCTAAAAGAAACGCTATTTCTTTTTTTTTTTTTTTGAGTTGGAGTCTCACTGTCGGCCAGACTGGAGTGCAGTGACTGCTCCTGGCCACCGCAGCCTCGACTTGCACCGCAGCCTCGACTCCGGTGATCCTTCCGTCTCAGCCTTCCAAGTAGCAGGAACAACTACAGGCGCGTGCTACCACACCTGGCTAATTTTTTGATTTATTGTAGAGATGAGGTCTTGCCTGCCCAGGCAGGTCTCGAACCCGCGGGCTCAGGCAATCCACTCACTTCAACCTCCCAAAGGCATGGGATTACAGGCTGAGCCACCGAGCCTGGCTGAAATTCTATTGCTTGATGGAGAATTCTTGATGGAGAATTCAGTCATGTGTGGCTACCTTTTCTTTTAGAGTTCTAGTATCAGATATCAAGAAAAAGGTGAAGACTGATGATTAGGGAAGGGACTTAGCTGCTTGATTTAAAGAAAGAAATATGCTGTACATAGACTTGACCAGAAAAAAGTAGGAATGATTCCTTCTCACCACAGGAGGACAGTTTCCCAGTGAATTCCTTGAAGTGCTGAGTCTCTATTCTTTTCATCTTTGTGCTCAATCATTCCAGACTTGAAACTCACTCATGGAACTTTCTATGCCCTCAAGACAGCTTTGATATGTACAAGGGCATCTCTAATAATTGCACTTGGGAGGAGGAGGTGAGGGGACCATTTCCTTCTTCATCTGCAATAGAGTAGTTGCTGAACGAGTTGTTTAGGAATTCTTTATTCTTTCGTTCAAACCTTATTCATTCTTTGAAATACATAGTTTGGTCCACGCATGGTGGCTCACACCTGTAATCCTAGCATTTAAGGAGACTGAAGCATGAGGATTGCTTGAGCCCAGGAATTTGAGTCCACCCTAGGCAGCATAGGGAGAACTCATCTCTACAAAAACAATTAAACAAACAAAACAAACAAAAAATCCCCATAGTTTGGTATGTAAATTATATCTTAATAAAACTGATTTTAAAAAACTACGTATAGTATACTCCAACATCTTTTCCCCTAGACTGGCATGGTTTGGCACACAAAGGCATCTTGGATTGAGTTGACTGTGTGGTCTGGTTGGGTCCCTCTGCAGTGTCTGCTACCTCCTTTGGCACATGTCCTAGAGTGATAATCCTTTTTCCTTTCAGGGTATGCTGCTGGATGTGAACTCAAATCCCCTTCATTCAGAAAATAACTGTTCAAACCTCCAGAAAAACTGTATAAAATCCTCATCAATAAAATGAGAAGCATTGGATGGAATGTTTGGAAATGTTCCCAGGAATGTCCCTAACCATGAGGAAAAACTTCCCAGTCTATAATGTATTTACTCACTCGTCCATAGGAATAGAATTTAAGAGTAAGTCAGAACAAATAGAAGTACTATTAGTATGGAGATTCTGGAGAATGGGTAGCTTGGCTACTACTTTTCAGCAGAGAAGTCAGATAGGAACAACACTATATTAGGGGAACACAGTCCTCTTTCCAAAAGGTTTATATTTAAAAGATTAAAAAAACCAAAGCATGTTTTGATGGGAAACAACATGGCTGATATAAATAAGTAAATATCTAGCAAATGTCTAGATATAAAGTAGATTTTTCTTAGGTTAAAGGAAATATAAAGACCAGGTATGATGGCTCTCTCCTATAATCCCAGCCCTTTAGAATACAGCCAAGGATTGCTTGAGCCCAGGAGTTCAAGACTAATCTAGGCAACATAGTAAGACTTCGCCTATATAAAAAATTAAAGAAATCAGCCAAGCATTGTGGCACATGCCTGTAGTCCCAGCTACTCGGGAGACTGAGGCAGAAGAATTGCTTGAGCCCAGGAGTTGGAGGCTGCAGTGAACTGTGATTGAGCCACTGCATTCCAGCCTGGGCGACAGAGTGAGACTTGACTCAAAAAACAAAATAAGTAATTTTTTTTTCTACTTCAGTTAATAGCAGAGTACTATGTAGCAAACCAACCATTTTACAAATAATACTTGTAAACTCTGGACCAAAACCAAAACAAATCAAAACAAACAAACAAACAAAAACTATATGAAGGCATTGAAAAGTGACCAAAGGAGGCAGAAAATGGAGGAGAATCAACATTTAGAAGAAAGAAAAGACATTGGGTAGGTTTTCCATTTTTTAAAATACCCTTTACCTGAGGGCAGGCTCCAGTAAGCATCATATAGGTAGTTAATGCTCATAGACTTTTTATTTAACATGTTAAGTATTAAGAGTCAGAGTCTGGAACAATCACAACTGGAATGTGAAGGAGAATATTCCAGAAAGGAGAGCGCCACACAAGGGAAACCCTAGTTTATGAATATAAAGTGTTTGAAAACTTGTGTGACATTATGCACGTGCAACACAGATTCTAAGCAGCCCATATAAAGCTAAAAGAATTGAACAAAGATTTCATCTGCTGCCCAACATAGAGGAGATAGAGTTTGGAGTTTGAATTCTGCCAAGTCAACTGTCTACTAAAACAAAAGTCAACATTCTCAAGAAGCATATGACAAGAGTTCAAAGTTCCCACAATTTATCATTCATTCACTAAGTCCAGATACAATTCAAAATTACTAGATATAAGAAGAAACACAGCAGTTTGGGAGGCTGAGGTGAGAGGACTGCCTGAGCCCAGGGGTTCAAGACCAGTCTGGGCAGCTTGGCGAGACCTCATCTCTACAATAAATGAAAAAATTAGCCTGGTGTGGTAGCGTGCCTGTAGTTCTGGCTACTCGAAAGGCTGAGGCCCAAGGATCACCTGAGCCCAGCAGGTTGATGCTGGGGTGGCTGTGAATGTGCCACTGCACTCCAACCTGGGCAACAGGGTGGGCTCCAACTTAAATAAATAAATAAATAAATAAATAAAGGAGAAGAAGAAACAGGAAAATGTGTCCAACATTCAAAGGAAAAGATAATCACTGGAGACCAACTTTAGAATGCCTCATATGTTGTAATTAACAAATAAGGATCTTAAGGTAATTATTTTAACTATACTTAAAGATGTAAGAGAAAGTATGAGTTTAATAAGTGAACATACAGGAAACCTCAGCAGAGAAACAGAAACTATAAAGAAATAGACAAATGGAGTCCAGGCACAGTTGCTCATGTCTATAATCCCAGCACTTTGGGAGGCAGAGGTAAGAGAATTGCCTGAGCCCATGGGGTTTGAGACCAGCTTGGGCAACTTGGTGAGACATCAGCTCTACAATAAATCAAAAAAATTAGCCGAGTGTGGTGGTATGCACCTGTGGTTCCGGTTACTTGGAAGGATGAGGCAGAAGGAATGCCTGAATCCAGAAGGTTGAGGCTGTGGTGGCCGTGATTGTGTCACTACTCTCTAACCTGGGCAACAGAGTGAGACTCTGACAAAAAAAGAAAAGAAAAAAGAAAGAAAGAAGACAAGTGGAAATTCTAGAACTAAATATTGAAATATCTGATGTAAAAAAAAATCACTGAATAAGTTTAACCACAGCACGGAGATAACAGAAGAAACAGTTAGTACCCTTAAAGATAGATCAGTGGAAATTAGCCAGTTTGAAAAAACAGAGAGGAAAGCCTGGAAGAAAATGAGTGGAGCCCTAGAGATTTGTAAACAACATCAAGAAGTTGAAGTATGTGTAAATGAAGTCCAATAAGAAGTGAGAATGACCAAAACTTTAAGAGTTGCCAAAGTGTTTCCAAATTTGCTGAAATATACAAGATTTTGGCCAACTCTAAACAGGATAAGTACAAAGAGAGCCACATCTAGGCATTTTGTAAACAAACTACTGAAAACCAGAATTAAAAAAAAAAAAATCTTCAAAGCAACTGGAGAAAAACAGCACATCGTAGACAAGGCAACAATGGTGCATGTGATAGCTGACTTCAGAAGCCAGAAGACAACAAATCTTTAAAGTGCTGAAAGAAAAAAAAAAACCACCTAGATTTTTATATCTATTTCAGGTTTAGTAAAAGTACAGATGGTTTCCAACTTACAATATTTTGACTTAACAATTTTTTGACTTTATGATAGGTTTATTGGAGTATTAAATACACTTTTAACTTATATTTTTTTACTTATGATGGATTTAGGGGACATAATTCCATAAGTCTAAGAGAATTTTTTTCTAGAATTCTACATCTAACAAAAATATCCCCAGGGAAATGCAACTTAAGACAGCAATGTGATACTATTACACAATGGCTGAAACCCAGAACACTGACACCACCAAATGCAGGTGAGGATGTAAAGCAACAAGAGCTTTCGTTCATTGTGTGTGAGAGTTCAAATGGTAGAATGACTTTGGAAGACAGTTTGGCAGTTTCTTTTTTTTTTGAGTTGGAGTCTCACTCTGCCGCCCAGACGGGAGTGCAGTGGCCGCTCCCGGCCACCGCAGCCTCGACCTGCTGGGCTCCGGTGATCCTTCCGCCTCAGCCTTCCAAGTAGCTGGAACTACAGGCATGCGCTACTACGCCCGGCTGATTTTTTGATTTATTGTAGAGATGAGGTCTCGCCAAGTTGCCCAGGCAGTTTCTTACAGTGCTAAACATACTCTTACCATGTGATCCAGCAACTGCACTCCTTGGTATTTACCCATAGGAGTTGAAAACATATGTCCACACAAAAACATACACACAGATGTTTATAGCAGCTTTATTCATAATTGTCAAAAGCTGGAAGAAACCAAAATGTCTTTCAGTAGGTGAATGGACAAAACAACTGTGGAACCTTAACAATGAAACATTTTTCAGTGCTAAAAAGAA